GGCCTGGAGGAGGAGCTAACTTGGGTGGGGATGGGGGCGGGGCTATAGGCCGGAAGCTCCCCTCTCCGCGCGTGCGCCGAAAAGCCAATTAATTGCGAACTAGGAGGGCGCTGCGGTTTGGTTTTGAGATCGCGTCCTTCTTAATGGGCCTGCTGTAGCGGCTCCGACCCCAGGAGTGTGGCGGCTCGGTGACGGCGGGAAGCACGTGTTGTGAACCTCTCTGGCCACTCCTCTGACCTAACCATTGACCCGACGGCCCTGGACCGTGTTCTTTGGCGGTCTTGGTTGGCTGCCCTTGTCGCAGCTGCAGCTGCTTCCCGATAACCATGTCTGTGTCAGTGTCGCGGAGAAAGAGCGACAATCCCCACGTAGACACGTGACGGAGGACCTTTTGATAACAAGCACACCAAAAACCCTCTATAAGAGGAAGATTTAATTTGTATCGGGCCGGAAGTCGTGGGCTTTCGGATCAGAGAACCGTTCTCTGGAATGTAAAGGTGTCACCTGTTGTAAACTAGCAGCCGTTTAAACATTCTTGGACGTGCTAAGTCGTCCTAAGGTGGAGTAGAGCGTCAAAAAGACAGGACTCTGTCTTTAAACATAAGTGTCTTTACATTCTGGGCATAATAAAAGTCAAAACCGTGAACTAAAACCCAACCTTCAAGAATGTGTTACTCTGGAAACCTTTGGCAGGGACACAACTTGTAAAGTTGCTGAGGAAAAAGAAGTATTTAATCAGATAGGGCAAATAGAGAAGGGATGTTTTGTGAAATACAGTGAGAAAATTCTACTCTTAAATACCTGCTTTTACCCAACTCAGTCTTCTTCAGTTGTGATGCATGCTAGCAGAGGTCAGAGGATCCCATTTTCAAAGAGGAAAAATTCTGAAGTTTCTCCTTCCAATGTAATAGACATTGCCTGTCTCCATTTTTTTAGATTAATTTCTTAATGATGAACGTAGTTAGAAATTATTAAAGTCCGTTTTGTGTGTGTAGTTAGATAGGGCTTCCTCAGAATATTTATCCATAAGTAATAAATACAGGGCTGGGGATGTGGCTCAAGCAGTACCGCGCTCGCCTGGCATGCGTGCGGCCCTGGTTTGATCCTCAGCACCACATACCAACAAAGATATTGTGTCCGCCAAGAACTAAAAAATAAATATTAAAAAAAAAATTCTCTCTCTCTCTTCTCTCTTTAAAAAACAAAAGTAATCAATACATTTCATTTTAGCTGAGAAACAGGGGTTCATTAAGATGGAAAGAGAAAACAAGATTACCAACCCCTGAAAAATCACACTCTTCACTATGGTTAAGATTCACCATGGAAAGGCAGCAGAATACAACAGACACGAGTATGTCAATATGTAAACCAATGGAAGTGTAACTGATGTGATTCTGCAATCTGTATAAGGGGTAAAAAAAGAATGGGAGTTCATAACCCACTTGAATCAAAGTGTGAAATATGATATATCAAGAACTATGTAATGTTTTGAACAACCAACAAACTGTATAAGGGGTAAAAAAAAATGGGAGTTCATAACCCACTTGAATCAAAGTGTGAAATATGATATATCAAGAACTAAGTAATGTTTTGAACAACCAACAATAAAACAATAATAATAATAAAAAAAAGATTCACCATGTACACTGTGGCCTGCAATCCCAGCAATTCTGGAGGCTGAGGCAGGAGGATTGCAAATTTGAGGTCAATCTCAGCAATTTAGGGAGACTCAGCAACTTAGCAAGTCCCTATCTCAAAATTTAAAAAAAGGACTTGCGGATGTGGCTTAGTGATGAAGCACTCCTAGTTTAATCCTCAGTACCAAAAACAACAACCAAAAGAAAAGAAAAGTTTGACTATGTGCTAGATGAATAGTTTGTTACCAGAGATTTAGGGAAATTTTTACATTTTCCAAAAATGTTGTGTATCTACTTGTTTTTCCCTAAATTTCGTTGACAAAAGATATGTTCTTTGTATAGTTAGACCTCATTAGACAAAGGATTTAAAATAAGAATGGTAAATCAGCAATGTACTAAGGAGGGTGAGGCAGAAGGATTCCAAGTTTAAAGTCAGCCTTAGTAATTTAGTGGGACCGAAACAACTTACTGAAACCCTATCTCAACATTTTTAAAAGGGGTTGGGAATGTGACTCAGTGTTGAAACGTCCCTGGGTTCAATCTCTGGTAGAAGAAAGAAAGAAAGAGAGAAAGAGAATGAAAGGGAGAGAAAAAGAAATGTCATAATG